TCCAGAGCGTGTATTCTTGTCAGCCCACGCTGAAGCGCATCTTGGCCATGGAGGCAGGAAGAGGGGCTCTGCTCAGGGCAGAGGAAATCCGTTCTTGATGTCGGTGCGTTGCTCCTGAGCAACCTCTCTTCTGTCTCCCAGCAGAAACCGGCCCAGGCTGACCTGTTGTTTCAGCCTGCGGATGTGGTGCAAAGATAAAATCAAACAGCGCAGCTAAGTCATAGCCTGTGACAGGTACACGAGGAGGAGGTGTTTGCTCAGCAGTCACCCGCACAGGCACCGCTCTGCGCAGCCAGCGCTCCTGCCAAGGACGTGGCACCAGCGGGATGCCCAGATTTCCCTGGCGCAAGCACTGGATGGCAGCTCAGCCAGGGAACGGCGGTTCCCCATGCAGACAGAGGGGCAAAAGCCCACGGTTTGTCCAAAGCAATCAAAGGTCACTGTCTTGGTGACGTTTGTGCGGATGCTGGGGACAGACGGCCGTTAACGCGGACAGCAGACAGCACGGACGAGCCGCAGCCTCTTGGCAGCAGCTCATAAATGGCCGATGCAGCGGGAAGGCTCTGCTGCACCAGGCGCCAGGGTGGACCTTTGGGAAAGGGCAGAAACCAGACGTTCAATGGAATAACCGAGGTTTAGATCCACGCCAGAGCCTGTAACGCAGCCCACGGGGCAAAGCCGCATACTGAAATTACCAGAAGTGGCAGGGCATCGGCAAGCACCCGCCGCCAGCTCCCCCGCGCCTCTCTGTGCCCAGGGGGCCCCGCGCCTCTCTGTGCCCAGGTGGTTTCCGAGCTTTCCCCCGAGCCGGAGCAAGCCAGCGTCCTGCTGCCACATGGCCCGGCTCCCGTGAAACACGGACCTTTGCAGACTCGGGCGCAGTGGCTTGGGTGAAAATCTTTGCTTAGATTCAAAATCTTCTAGATTCTAAATCCTTGGTTTAGAAAGACGAAGATCACACCTGGGAGTTTGATTTTGACCTGTTGTGCCATTGTAATTCCAGTTTATAGCAGGGTTACGTCTCATTTATGCCAGCGCAAGATGAGACCCAGAGACAGATCTCTGCTGCAAACAGCTTACCCGTAACAGCCCGTTTTTCCCACTCGCAGTGGGAAACGCGAGTCCCATTTTTTCATCCTTCCCTAGTCGCCACCCAGTTCACAGCAGCTCCTCCACGCCTACATCATTTACTCTTGTGCTTAACAAACCAAGATCAACAAGCCTGAGTTTGCCCCTCAGAATTATTATCTGTTTTGCACAGAGGTGAAATCCATCAAGCGTTCCAATGGGGCTTTTTTAGACCAATGGGTCTTTATACCTTCATTTTAAAATTACAAAGTAGCATTGTGCAGGAGAGAGCAAAAAGCTGCAATTTTAACACCAGGACAGCACCTGGGCTTCCCGCTGCCCCCCAGCACGCTGGCTGTTGGACCCTTCTCCACAAAAGACAGACGCGTTTAGTAAGATGATCCAAGGAGGAGAAAGCCTCTCGGGATTACTGAATACACAGAAAGCACAGAGGGCCCAGAAAGCCCCGCGCCGAGCATTTCTGGAGGCTGGGAGGTGGAGAGGGTGAATGTGAAGCAGCGGGTGCTCGCCCCGGGGCCGGTCCCCCGGGCACTGCTGGAGGCAGGTTTCCAGGCTCTGGCTGCCCCCGATCCAAAACTGCCCAGCTGGGCTTAGGCCAGGCGTTAGGAAACAGGGACTTCAGGCGGGAACAAGTTCTCCTGGTTAAAGCACCACAAATACTGAGTTGGCAGCTGGTGTTTGGCGACTGGTTCATAGGAAGGGTGGCAGGCATCGCTGCCTTTAACAACCGTCAAGGTTCTTTACTTCCATTTTATCCTTCTGTTTTTCTGTTTGGAAGCGCTCTGTGAATAGCAATCGTGGGGCTTGGTCCAGCCCGTAAGAACCGAGCCTGCTCTGCGCACGCTACAGCCCAGAGCAATTTCAGACATGACCAGAACGCTGCCCAGCCCGTGCCCCCCGTGGAAAACGCAGAGCGCGGTGCTTCCGGCACATTTAAGGGGCATCAGCAAAGGCTCGCGCACACCTTGCTCCAGCGTACCGATAGACCGTCTTGCTCGGACGGAAGAGAAGGAACGCTGGCAGCAACAAGATCGTGGGCATGCATCACTAGGGTGACAACGCAAACAGCTCATGGAGAATCTTAGCCTAGCAACACATCTGTGCATTTATTTGTTTTCTGATTTGTCTGAGGTGTATAATTAATGAGAAACTAAAACTATCCACGCTAGAAAATTTTGGTTAATCTATTTCAGAAGAAAAGGCATGAATTACCTAAAGAGATGATTTCATCACAGAGCCAAAGCAGCCTTGAGGCCATTGCGTGTTTAATGGCTGTGATGAGCAACACTGCTCTAACAACTGGCGTTGACTTTTCTCTCAGGGGGGCGGACAGAGCCATGGTTACACAAAACCTCTCTTACATCAGTCCCTAAAGCCTCGGGCAGGGTCAAAGACAATTCTTACAAGCCACACAGCTGCCTTCGTCACGGCTCCGCAGATCCCCTTCTCATCCGATTTACTGCCCCAAGAGACAATCTCCCTCCCTCCCTCCCCGCCCAGACGGTTTTGGACGTTGGCTGGCTTTACAAGGGGCGGTAACGAAACCCTGTAGCTCGGAGCAGGGACAAAAATCAGGGTGGGAGGCAGGCGCTGCAGGACTGAGCCTCCCCGGCCCCCCAGCCCGGAGCGCACCGCGGGCTGGAGGCTGCAGCCTGCAGCTCGCGGCACCTCGGGAAGCCAACCCCAGGAACATTCCCAGCCCTGCAAGAAAACCGCACCTGATGCTTTGCTGGAACCCAGCGAGCTTCCCCCGAACAGCGGGGCCTGAACTCATCGCAGCTGAACTGCGGCGGGCGCACGAAGGAAACGACAAAGCTCCATGTGTTCCTTCCACGGAGCTCGGTGGGGGCTTAGACAAGACAAACACGAGATTCATGACTTTGGGAAGTAGGCTTTTTATGCATTTTTTCAATTGCAATTCTGAGAATATCCATCACTGACTCAAACGAGGTACTTCACACGGTAAACGAGAACTCTTTATTTAAATTAACTCTCTTAGTTTCTATTTAGGACAGTAGAAAGGCCCAGCTTTTCATCTCTTCAGAACGGTCAAGGAAAAACCTCTTGAGCTGGCCAACACAATTTAAAGAGCAGTTGATCTTAATTTTTACTGAAGTCACAAAACGATGTAACTACTCTGCATATAATTTTGTTTATATAATTTAGTATATAATGCACTGTTCGACTCTGCCATATGTTTTGAAAAATATACAAACCTGCTTTAACCACATTAGCGATATTTGATAGACAGCTGTCAATTACTTAACAGTTTAGGACAATATCAGACACTCCTATCACTTCATTTTTAAACTACAAAAAGAACATAAATTCATATAAAATAGAACAGATTAAACAAACTTTTTTTTTCCCCCCAAGGAAAAATTAGATACCAACTCAATCTGCCATTCCGTGAAACATGAATATAAAATAAGTTACAATTAGTAATGCCTGCATTGTTGAGCTATGAACTGGTCGAATGAAATCTTAAAAAAACTATACAGTATTATTGCACTCATGAATGTGCAGTATCTGGAAACACGCCAGCACTGAAAGAGGTCTTTCATTAAGTTTTTTTTCAGGAGGCACAACGTGGCTGCGAGAGAAGCATCCAGTCTGTACTAACAGCGTGCTGTCTTCAGTACAGGCCTTCATGGGTCTGAGCCACGCCGCCCTTGGAAATCACCACTTAATGCCTGGAAACGGAGACACAAGCATTACAGTCGGCAACTACTCCTGCGTCAAAGCAGCAAACCGCCTCCGGCGCTGTCAGGACAGAGAGCCAAGGCATCTTCTGTGAGCTAGGGAGAACAGCAGGCCCTGCACGCTTTGGATTACAAAACCAGAATTACAAGCGCTGTCTCCTGGGATGTCACAATTCATGGCAGGAGAGCACTGTTATTATTTTATTCTGGGCGGTTGCCTACAGGGATCCCATCAGAATGACATTCCATTAGCATGAATTCAAATGAGGAGACATTACAACACAAAGTCACTAAGTCTCACTACCAGACTCTCCTAAGCTGTAGCGTTACTTCCCACACAGATGGAAATACAACTGAGTGGGGTTTTTTTTTGTTGTTGTTTTTCTAAACTCACATCCCATTAAATAGAATTCTACCCAAGAACAGTCTTAGCTGTTAGCTTTGTAAGCTTGAAAGCGACATCAGTCTACTTTGCAACAAAGAATACTGCTGGAGACCCTCCAGATCCATACACATAGGATGCTGGGCTTCAGCAAGCCCATCTGAAAAGTACAGGAAACACCAAACTTTTTCATACTAAATAATATTTTTAAAATACGAAACAACTTATTTCATGATCGAGAGGGCTTTTGCTAAATTACTAGGACAAACCAGACTTGACTGAACAAACAGGACGTGCCTGCAGGAATCAGAAGTCAGCTGTGTTTCTCTTATTCCCTGCACGAGGGCTTCGAGGGGGCAATCTCTCCGAACTGCTCTCCCCACTCCAAGGAAGCAGCAGGAGCGTTAGTGGAGGGAGAGATCAATGGGGGAAAAAAGCGGGGTTTGAAGTCTGAGCTCTGAAGCAGTGAGAAACAGCAGAGCAAGCCCTGGTTACAGAGCACGGTTTCCTACAAGAAGCAAGACTGCCTGCAGTGCTTCGACAGAGCTTCGCTTTCTCTGAACGTACACCTCCACGCGCTATGGTCTTGCTTACGTAAACACGAATTTGCAGAAGCTGAATCATTTTAAACAGAGCTCCAAAGGAAATCTGTGCAGGTGTTTGAACAGAGCTAGGTCATGAGCTGCTGCAGCTGGGGCCAACTGATCAGCTGAAGGCGGTGAGATGAGCTGCAAGATGTCAGTCGACAGACACGGGAGCACAGGGCCTGTCACCCGAGAGCGGGATGTCTGTGGGCAACGTAACGCCAAGAAACCAGTCTCTCAAACCAAAGCATTCTTCTGCCAAAAACTGCGCCACAGCTAATCAGCACTTCACTTAAGTGGTCTCCTAAGTGTCAACTGCCAATTTTTGCACCGAGATCGTCTTTTTGTAGCACTTAAGTTCCTATGAAGAATCGTAAGCTAAATGTTTTGAAAGCCGCAAGTGACACAGGAACACAGAAGTGGTTTGTCATAAAATATAAAAGCATGGACGTGAATCCTCTGCTCCTAAGAGTCAAGGAATATTTGCAAAAGGTTAAAACAGTACAGAACACAGATGAGAGGAAGAAAATATTCCACTTTCTAGCGTCATGCAATTCAATTAGGTTACAAGTTACAGAGAAATCCTTTGCATGTAGACTATTTTAGGGCACATAATGCAGTGTGTTTTCTGATCTCTGCATAACACAGTTCATTAACTTAAGGCCCATCTGCACACAGTAATGCATTTTTTTCTGTCTAAAGGAATGCCAGCTTCCAGTTTTGAAATGGGTAGAACAAACCCCAAACCAAAACCTCCCACCAAAACAGCATCTGTAAAATCTTCCATGTCAATTTACTGAAAGTCACTAGAGCTGGTTCTCCAGTAAAACTCTTTTAAACAAACAACATAAGATTACAATGTTCAATCTGCAACATGCGGTCCTTCACATCCCAGTCAGCAGACACCTGGTGACTGGAAGAAGACTTACAAGAAGTTTCAGTGCTGATAGATGGGGCTATGATCGATGATGAGGCATTGACTCCATGTGCACATTGAGCTTCATTTCGTTATCAAGAATTTGTACAAGCTGCTGCATGGAAGGAAGGTGGCCAGACTCTAGCTTAGACCAGACTGGAACATCTACCACAAAACACATGAAGAGGAGAAAAGAACATTGACAAAGTCAGAAAACACCTAGGGCTAGTTTAAACATAAAATTTCAAAGATCTAGGAAGCTACGCAAGTTGGTACTATTTTATGTTGAGAGAAATACCTGGATCAATAATGCTTCAAACCTCTGGCTACACTAGAACCCGGTCCAACTAGGAGAACAGTCCAATGCTTCCATTTAGAAGTACATCACATGGATTTAGAGGTTCAAAATATCCACTGACAGAATGTCTAAAGATAGATTAGTGAGTGGCAGAACAGCACACAGAGTTTTTAAACCACCGCTAAATCTTTGAAACTCATGAGTCTCATTAGTCTTCATCTCACTTCCGCCTAACGTCTAAGGCTGACCCTCAAAAGTTCTGCTTACCACCATCGGGCCTGGAAGGTTCTACTCAAAGTAGCTGCAAGCATTATTTCGCCCCCCCCAAAATATAAAAGGCAGCACAGTGCATAAATGCTTTAGTGTAAACACAGCATTCCTTTCTGACGTTGACAAATACTTACTCCCTCAAATATGCCTCACTGCTATAGCACATGATGAACCCACACTGAAAAATACAATTGCTGTCATCTATATAAAAACAAAGGCAGACTGGAACCACCTTGTCCCAAAACACAAACCAGAAACCTACGCAAGTCCACGTGTGACTGTTCACATCTAGGAAGGCTCTGCTGCCAATTCTGATCTGAGATTTGGGAATGGAAGTGCATCGTGTTCAACTACTTTGATGCAACACAGTCAGTCTTTAAAAGGTTCTGTAGTATATGACTTGACTTAGAAACTACTATATTGAAATTCATCCTGCACAATCATAAACTGAGATTATAAAGCACAGAGCTAGATGACATACTTGTACCTAGAGCTTGAAACATTCTGTACTCCACCAAGCTTACATAATCTTTAAAACCATTAAATTATTACATAATCTTTAAAACCATGAAATTATTTGAAGGCAGAAGGTCCACAGACTCTTAACCTGAAAAATCAATATTGCTGTCCACTGGTACTGAAAATCTGGGAATAGCAATGGATTCAATAGGATTCCAAGGCTAAACCATATTAGAAAACAGGATAGGGAAAGCATCTAATTAACTGGAGAGTACACTTCCCTAGTTAAGCGTTTCTTACTTAATGCGCATCACGTGCAAAAAAAGAACATAATACAGTCACTCCAAGTGACCAAGCATTCCTCTAAGTTTTTTACGTAGCTATTTTAAATGATACGTAACTGACATCTGTATAAACTGCTTTATAAGACGTCTATACTCTTCATCATTTGTTCTGATATATCAACATCTGAAGTTTCAAAATGGACAGCAATTACCACATACCATCACATTTTGAAACACACCACATTTCTTAACATCATCCCTCATTCTCCCAGCACAACAGCTCTCACAAATCTGTGCATGCACATGCAACACAACGCGATTCCCTTAAACAGAAAGCTCTCTGCTCACCATTCAAAGTTATTTCAAATGCACCTGTTGACATGCACTGGTTCTCAATCATGTTGCTCAGGAAGAAGACCATCATACAAGCATAAACCTAGAAGAGAACAGAGAGAATCCCTGATACTTCCACCACGCAAGCCACAGCTTATTTTATTCACTCTTAATAAGCGCTGGACATTTACAGGTGTCTTTGAATTCCCCTCTGCAATTTATCCAGTCATCTTTCAATCACACAGACATCTTTTTAAAAGGAGAATGAAAGGAAGATTGTGCACGTTGCCTTCCCAAGAGAGGTATCGAAATAGTCCTGAAACCACCCAACTCACACTCCCGATGCAAACAAAGGCACATCTTCTTGCTCCCTTTCCCCCACAAATCCATGCACATCTTAACAGCCAGTTTGCAGAAGTGCGTGACTACAATGGCACTTGTAGGATGACAAGGGAACACAACTGGTCCTGCATATTGCCCGTCATTTTCAGAGCAACACTTCAGATCAAAGAACCACAGGCCTAGACACAAACAGCAGAGCCAGTCAAACTGCATTTGTTCGCAAGAACTGTCAACCCTCTAGCATTTCTTCAAGCTAATCATCTGGAATTTTCTAGGTATTGGTGCCTCAGGACGAAATGATGCAACCTTCAGCAACACAGCATCTCCCTCCATCGCCAGCACCTTTAGAATTCCCTTTTCATGCACAAGGGCACATTCACACGGGTTACTGCAATACCAAAGAATTCAGCACGGGAGATAGTTAAGCCGTTCACATCACAGACATACCGCAGCCAGCCTAGCTTGGCAGTGCGTTCAGCCCACTGAGTTAAACAGGACATATTACAGCTTCCGTACATTCAAACTGACTGGTGACACAGACCCACTGCACTGGGTAGCTCAGTTTGAGATCTGTGCACCAGCAAAATACATAAAGGTTAATAAACTTATAAATTGCTTTTGTTTGGTAGAATGAATCTGGAATAAGGTTACTATAAATCAGAGTAGAACAACATTAAACTGTTAGCATCATCAGTACTGACTCACAGGGATATTCATCCCACAAGGCATAGTCTGCCATGCCTGAGTATGTTCTGCAAAAACACCCACAAAATTTCAACTTGAATTTTCAAACCACCATCTAATTGCATGCCCAATCTATTAAAAGCCTGATAAAAGCAACAACTGGAAAACAGTTATGAGACAACAGAAAAGGGAAGCTGCAATTTTAACACCAAGGATACTGGCTTGAAACTCTACTCTTGAGCCCTAAAAAATAAAAAAATCTTTTATTATCTTTGTCAGTAACATGAACCTCAGCTGTCCCTCTGCAGCATCGTCAGCTTGGAAAGAGAGATGCTGAGAATCACATCTGGGTCTGTCAAAAACATGGAGCACTACTATTAATTAACACTACTGTAAAATTCTAAGCCTACAGGTTCTGTTAAGGCTGCAATGTGTGAAAATTAAATCAGTAAGAATTGTGAAGTACTCCCCGAGCACTCTCATGAAGTCATTCTAAAACTGCTTTTTCAAAATAAAAGAAGAAAGTATGCTGTTTACCTTATTTTCTTGGCCCCACTGCCAGATGCTTGGAGCTTGCATGCCGAAGAAAGCAAATGGATCCTTGCCAACGATTATTAAGCCTATTAATACTAGTTTGAAGACAGACAGGAAGGATGCTATGTGCCTATCAAAAGACAACACATAAAAGTGACTTAGTTCACAATTACTACTTCACCACTACATAGCTATAATTCACCTCATTAGAAGAATTTTGGTAGCGTACAATCAAGTGTTTCAGAGGAAATACAAAACTTTTCAAGTATGTTTATCTCGGTGTAAAAGAGCCAAGCGAAACAAAAAAAGCAACACACATTAACAAAACCACGCATCCTCAGAAGGATACCATTCTTGTATACCATGCATACAGATTTCTTTTGGTTTTTTTTTTTTGCTAAGCAGACCTCAAACAGAAATTTGCCTTCAACTTATGCACGTCTAAACTGCATAATACGTTCAGTTTCTTGAAGAAGTTGTTCCCTATTATAGAGAGACATTTAACTGACACACGCTACATCCTCATAAAGCGTTTTCCCAGCAGATGCAGAAAACCCTACAGTTTTTTGCAAGAATTAAACCTATAGCCAGAGAGCAAATTAACACTGAGGTATTCAATCTTGTAGCATTCTTACCATTGTAATTATCACAGTAATTAGGTCAAGAAGTGGTTCAGAAGCCACCACAGTAACTATGGCATCACTCTCTAGCATGTACACAATAGGAATAATAGGAATAACACTATTTTCATTTTGTCTTTTTCTAAGTTTCTTTGGGCTTCCCTTCCCCCCACCCCCAACCTGCAGTTAAGGACATCCTGGTAGTCTCTCCAATGAGGTTAGCTCTCCCCCGACTTCCATGTTAAAAACAAACTCTTCCCTGCTCTGCAACCTTAACCTATTACAGGAATTTGTCGCCAAGTGCATAAGCCTGAGCAAAAAATGTGAATTTATGTCCAGATACATCATGAAGAAAAGCTGGAACAATCCACTGTGAAAGAAAGTTAATGATACAATTGACTTCAGATTGGAACATGACAGGCCTCATCACACAGATATCCAGATGGCAATATTTGTATGGAAAACTAAGGGGACTATCCGGAAGGGAGAAGATAACCGAGCTTGTATGTAATCATAATGGGAAATAAAAACCCCTGAAGTTTCCATTTTCAGTATTATTTAAGTGTAAATGCACACGTTCACCAGTCACCATGCTGAGCCTACATATTGGAGAAAAGACAATTAGTACTGCCAGTCATTTGCTTACCTATATATAGGTTGAGGAAGGTAGTTCTCCCCTTCGATTCGGATGTCTGGGTACCGCTGGCTAATAACCCGCATGTACTCCTCAAACACCCGCCTGTAGCCTCAGGAGACACTAAATGCAGACAGGGATTGTCACTGAAACCGGAGTGCGACGTTAAAGTCGCTGCTAAACTGGCAACACCCGCACTCGCACTGTTCATAAGCTGTTCGGTTTAAAATAAAACTAAAATTCTTCATGCCAAACAAGACAACTGATTTGCAGCTAAGTTACACATCAAAAATCCTGACAGCTGGCTAGGCACTTGGTTTTACACAAATTTGTTTTCACATACTAGCACAGACACAGTGTTTTGGTAAAGTCCACTGAGCAAAGAATTACTTGTGTCGCCCATAAAAAGCTGTTAAGTTAGAAAGTCAGCACAAGTATCACCTTGCTCTGTGTGCAAAAAAACCCCAAAAACCCCAAACAACCACTTTCACACAGTGTAGTTTTAATTCATCACTAGTTAAATTTAACTCTTTCTGGGACTGCCCACAGACAGGCAACATTGCTCCCAGTTACTTCTGTGTAAGGATGACCAGATTAACTACAAGAAGAGTTAAATATTACAGAGCTGTACTTTGCCTCGCATTTCTACCAGCTGCCTCTGTAATAATCAAAAATTATCTGGCCTCAGCTTACCACAATAGAAACCAAACTAAGTACTTCCTACTGAGCATGCCTTTTGCAGCGCTTCACAGATCCGCATGACACAACCTGGACCAGACTCTGCTCTGGGAACCGCAGCGAATATTCTCGCTCCCTCCGGCCCCGCCGAGGCACCCCAGCGCAGCAGTGGGTCCGTCCGTCTGTCCGGTGTCGGCTGCAGCTCTGCCAGCCCTCAGAGCACTGTGACGGGCGCTGAAGGTTTTTTTTTTTTTCTCCTCAAACAAGCTACAAGTGCTAGAACTACCTCACCCCTTCCTACTCCTGCTGGGTTTTGCTCTGAGCAGCTGACACCACCAATAATACTCTTCGAGTGATATAAAGGTGCCTGATCTCCCTGTTAGCAATACAGTCGTTACAAAAACAACAAAAAAAACCCCAAACAAAACCCCTTCATTACAGTTTTTGCTAAAATATCAGTTTCAACGTAACGCTCAGTCAGCAAAATGCCAGACCATACATGAAAAGAGCCGGAAAAGAGCGGCCCTGTCGCGGGTGGCCATTTTCCAGTCACTTCCCC